TTCCCTCTAATAACAAATATTATTTTTTCATTTAAAAATTCATACAAATTTTTACCATTATTTTTATATAATAGGATGTTGATATATTGGATAATACAAAATTATTACAGCTAGATTGTGAATAAATTTATTTGAATTCTATTAAACGATTATTATACATATTTGATACATTTATAAATTATTTTGAAGTTATAAATTGCATTAAAATTTTGTATAGATCTTTGTATTGATTTTAGAGTACAAATTTTCAAGCACTAGATGTCAGTAGCATTAAAATAGCGACCTTCAATTTATTTCATTTGATTGCTAAACGTATCGTGACCGGTGTGATTAATATTCATCGTAGTACTATTTATTCAACTTTTGCTTCTTTTGCACCGTTTATTAACTATTGCATTTTACAATAATGTCGAACAAAGCTGGAAAGGTATTTATTTCTTTCTGACAAATTATTTTGTTCCATTGTTACGATTAAATTGAATCTAAGTAACTCATTTGTTACAATAAATCGTTGCATTGAAATGATTTTCGGTTAATCAAAAAACGGTTATTTTAAGAATTATACATACCTTTTCATATTCTTTGATAGCTATTTATCCAAGTTAAAGATAGCGATCAGTAATTTATGATCAAATAAATAACGAATTAAAATATTTTTGTATGTTAGGTAATCAAATGTAAAGCTGCTGTAGCGTGGAAGGAGAAACAGCCTCTCTCGTTAGAAGAAGTTGAAGTTGCACCACCAAAAGCTCATGAAGTAAGAATTAAAGTTGTAGCTGTAGCTTTGTGCCATACTGATGCCTATACTTTAGACGGGTTAGATCCAGAAGGAGTTTTTCCTTGTGTTCTTGGTCATGAAGGCAGTGGTATTGTTGAAAGTGTTGGGGAAGATGTTACCGAATTTAAAGCTGGTATTGTACTACTGTTATATTATTTATTATATTATATATTATTGCATATTTACTAACTACTAAGAGATATCATATATAAATTACAGGTGACCATGTGATTCCATTATACATTCCTCAATGTAAAGAGTGCAAATTCTGTATACATCCAAATACAAACTTATGTAGCAAAATTCGTGTTACACAAGGCAAAGGTGTAATGCCTGATGGTACTTCTAGATTTACTTGCAAGGGACAAACCCTTGCCCATTTCATGGGTTGCTCTACTTTTTCTGAATATACTGTAGTGGCAGACATTTCTCTTGCTAAGGTACTTTTATTTTATGTAGGTATTTCAAAATTGCTTGAAATAATTTAAAGACATTATATAATTCAGATTGATCCTATTGCTCCACTTGATAAAGTATGTTTGTTGGGATGTGGAGTATCTACTGGATATGGTGCTGTTGTAAACACTGCTAAGGTAACACCTGGAAGTTCATGTGCTATATGGGGATTAGGTGCAGTGGGATTGGCAGTTGCATTTGGTTGTAAGAAAGCTGGTGCCAAGCGTATTATTGGAATAGATCTGAATCCAAGTAAATTCAAGTTGGGTAAGATAAAAGAACTTATTGAAGTTTTGCATGAAAAATGTTGAGAAATAATAAAAAAAATTTATTCTTTCAAGCTAAAAAGTTTGGATGTACTGAATTTCTTAACCCTAAAGATTATAGCAAATCAATTCAGGAAGTATTAATAGAATTAACTGATGGTGGACTAGATTTTACTTTTGAATGTGTTGGTAATGTGAACACTATGGTAAGTTTTAAATATTGAATCAAAATTTTTAATAAATTGCTGGGTGGTTTTCTTAGCATATTTTTTATGTTTAGAGAGCTGCATTGGAATCTTGTCATAAGGGTTGGGGCACATCCATTATAGTGGGTGTAGCTGCAGCTGGTCAAGAAATTAGCACTCGTCCATTCCAATTGATAACGGGACGCGTGTGGAAAGGGACTGCATTTGGTGGATGGAAGTCTAGAGATAGTGTTCCCAATTTGGTGCAAGATTACATGGCAAAAAAATTAATTCTTGATGAATTTATTACACATACTTTTTCGTTCAATAAGATTAATGAGGGATTCGATTTGTTGCATTCAGGCAACTGGTAAGTTTCAATAATCTGCATTTAACAAGTTCTTTGAAATATTGATGTTATTTTTTGATAATAAATATGAATTTTTTTTAATTGCAGCTTAAGAATAGTGCTCAAATATTAAAAAAGATTAAATCTTTACTAGGTTTTATATCATTTGTATTTCAATTATGACTTAAAATATTTGATATTTTGTAATATATACTTTTCATGAATAAAGATAATATATTTCTGCATAAATACATTCTTTTACTTCTGTGTAGTTATTTAGGTTGAAAGTAATCGAAACCTCCGGATTTCTACAACAATCTTTATTCATAAAGAATTCTTACAGCCACATGTACAATACCAATTTGGTGAAATATTAATAGTAGCTCCGGAATGAAGTAAAAATTCTTTACGCTTTGATCAGGTGCATACCTTACAAAATCATCACGGTACGAAGATCATAGACGATGATTTTCCATTGTATATAATTATGTATATACAATATGCAAGACTTTCGGTAAAACTATGTATGTTTGCTTGAAGTTAATATGCTTGTTAATCTAGGTCGACGGTATAATAATAATTCAGGCAGAATATAAATTGCGCTCAACATAGCAAAGAGTATACACGTTAATTAATTAATTCATCGCGGACGAGGTTCCCGTACACCAAATGTTTAAATGGCACGGAGAGTTTCTACGAATTCTTATTTTATGTTACTTTAAATGTTTCAAAGTGATGCGGTACCTATTATGTTATTCGTTAAAATGCAAAAACTTTACTCTCACAGTTTACGCAGAATAATAAAACGTACAATTTAGTTTCGGTGTGAATACTTCATAATGATGTTGTCTATTTCATATACCATCGATCAAATGTTTGGAAAAAGAATAGAGATTTGATTAAAATATAAGTACTGAAATTCAGAGTAGATGTATCTCTAATCAATAATACATCAGAGCGCTAAATGGCTCGAATTTGATCGAATACAACGAAACAATGTGTATTCTAAACTTGGAAACTCAATCTCCATGTTTATTCTAGATGAGAGATACGTATAATTTGCACTGGCTATTCCTACGTAAATTGCCATCTAATACTAGGGCATATTCACATAGTCACACCGATCAGTTTTCTACGGGTTACATGTTATACTCTAGTACCTACGGTGTACCACACACTCGTTAAGTAAAAGTTGTTAAGTAAAAATGCTTATAATTACAGTAAACGCAGCTAAATCACGACGTGTTCGTTAAACATTATAAGAAAGTTTGTTCTTTAGGTATCCTCAATTGTTACAATATAAATTATGTAAAATTATTGCAATAAAAAAAGAAATATTTTTTCAGCAGTAGAAACCAAGTCTTTATCGATCCTAGAAAAAGTTAGACATTAATTATATCCATGAAAATAGTGCTTAAAAAATGATTTGCTCGTCGTGATTGAACTACGGTTTAGTAGTTAGCGAGTATGAAATAGGTCATCCTTTTTTATGCAATATATCTTACACTAAACCTCGCAACGCAAGATGGCTACGAGAGAAAAGACAATTAAAAAAGGAAAGGACAGAATTGGTGAAGAAAGATTAATCGTTTAGCGTGAAGAAAATAAATAAGCGTAGCGACGAAAATCTATATTAGTTGTCGGCGTACGTTTTTTCCTGTGTTAAGAACCAGCGAAGGTGCTTTATTACGAGAGAGGAGCTCAATTAAACCTATAAACTCGTGATTCGGACTATGCAATTACTTTTTCCGTTTAATATTCTACATTTTCAAGCGTGTGCATCTCTCTAAGAGTGTGTTAGACGAGTCCTTCGCATTCGCTGACGATCAGCCAGGTTTTCTCTCTCAGCCAGCTTGTCTTCGTCCGCTGTATTATCGTAAGTCATAGACAGTATTATATATATATATTTATATGTATATTTATATATATATATTATGCTTAGACATTATAATTCGAGATATCGTTAATCTAGCGCGGTTAGAAATCATAATTACATAGAGCATTCTTTTTCTTTTCTTTTTCTTTTTTTGTATCTCTTCTTGTTAAAGGTATTATAATCTCTATACGTCGTGGAGTGGACATGTGAATTTTATCCGATGGAGAATGAGCTTCTTTTCCTTCTTTTCCTCTTACTTCTTCATCTGTCCTTTCTCTTTCTTCCCTTTCTCGTGAAACTTCTAGTTTGTATATGCATAAATAGTATATAATTATATTATTTATAGACGAGTTGTGCATGGAGGTACCTCGACGGGCACACAGGGTACAACGTATCTCATCAAGGATCATCGATACGATTCTTTCATCGCGTCGAACATCGACATCTCTTACCGTGGTCTTTGATCAAAATAGAACATCACACAAGATTGCCATTGCACGATGTAGCCCCTTGGTTATTGCACTGTACAAACTTCCTACGATTCTCTGATTCAGCAGCTTCTTAACCCGTTTGGCACTTGTGTTTTCGAACAGATTAATTTGTATTAACCGTAAACGTAAAATGACGAGAAAAATATCGGAAAAATAAGATCTTTATACACAGTATTCTTATTTCAATTCAATCTATAAATAATCAATCAACAAATCGCTACGGGAAATTAATTGTTGAAAAATGATCATTCCCGGGTTAAGGATCATGATCAATCGCTAAAGAGGACGCAATTGAATTCGTGCAATCACGATGCCAGAGGGTGTATCCGCTGCTCGTGTCACATCTCGTTAATCCTCGTATTTGTTCGTTGCTTTTCTGACGTTTTCTTTTTTTTAGGCTCACGCGTGGGTCGCAGCCTTCGCCGACCTGTTTCACTTGAAGACACCTCCAATCACAACGGCGATACTCGAAACCAGCGGACGACCAGGACGAGCGTTCCCCGTTCCCCTTTACAAGGGGAAACAATGTCGTCCGGCTGTTCGACATCACGTTAAGGTGCTGCTCCCGTTGCTGTTGTTACTGGTTGATTCTAAGGAGTCTAGAAGTCCAATGGCTGATCGGCGGAGCCCTCAAGATCCTGAGCAGAATCTGTACCACCATCCTCGTCGTCATCCAGGTCCACGCTGTTTGTCTTTAATCCTCCGTTGCTGATCTTGTTCACGATCGTGTCTGAAATATCGGCACGTTAAGTATAATCGAATAATCGTTGGAAAAAGTATTTTTCTTGGCAATCGAGGAACACTCACCGCAATCTGGCTTGCTGCCACGTGTTCTAGTTCCAGCGAATTCCACGCCGTGAGGATCCACGCACCAGCAGAGTCCTAGACCACGGTGACACTGGGTGCTTCGGTAATACCCTCGGGAATCGCAAGCAGGTGCAACGTCGGGGGATGATCGCTTGCGTACAGCGGCGCAGGGACGTTCAGCCTTCGAGAAACATCCGCACCATTCGGGACCATTCACGAAGATGTCTCTGGAAATTGTCGAACGTGATAGATATTTGGTGCTTTACTTTATTATTGTACAGTGATGTATTGGTTTCTCAGAAAGGGATTCTTGTTAACTTTAATTCTCAGATTGCGATGGCTAAATCATTTAAAATTTACATATTACATTTGGACCGTACAATAGCTCAAATATAACGAGTCACATATCACATAATCTTGATTTTTTAATTTAATTAAATAAAGAATTTCGTCGCGTTAAATGGGAACGGGAAAACAAGATAAATGTTTATTGCAAATTTATGGAAGTTAAGAAACTATGCAAATTTTTATTAGAGTATCAAAGTATATTACTTTCTTATGTAGATATTCTGTCATCTTAACCGGATTTTAAATCACCTAATCATAGCCACTTAGTTAGTCAACTAATCGAGCCACCGAATTTAATCTTCATTTCAGCTAATATCCTTCATCCGGTAGTTGGATCTCCAATGCCTTTGATCTATTACATTTAGTCCTCGTCATAGATATGAAAGTTACATGTATGCCGTATATGTATTATATATCTCATTAATAATCTTACACCAAGAAGCTACTATGAATTAATTATTTAAGACGATCCACAGACTGGGTAACAGAGTTCACCGTGCCAGAATGGCGAGGGAAACCTTTCATGGAGACTACATAACAACCCCCTAACATCTCAACTTAATCTCTACACATACTCTGCAACAGAGAACGGAAATTCCGCTTCTTGAGAGTAACAAACGCAACGTGGCATCGTTTCTTATTTCCCGGTTTGCATGCGAGTAAAAAGCAATCGACTCGGAATGAAAGTTTCACACACGGTCCATGTGTCTGCCTCTTAACGACCAGCCACTCCGCTCCGTAGGCACGTACGCTCGAGACCTATTACGCTCGAGCGTCAAGCCCCTCGAAGGTATTAAAAACTGAAAGGGTTTCTCTATCTTCTTCCCTTTCCTCCAACTCGCCCTGTTTCTCTTCCTTCCCTTTTCAGGTCACGTATCCGCGGAGTTTAATGATTTACAAGCAACGGACGACGGGATTACGTAAAAAGGAAAAAAAAAATAACAAAGAAAGAAGAAAAATTCACCGCGATGTGACAAACGGATTACAACGTGGCGGAGAGGTACGTGGATGGAATAATCGCACGGGCGGAAGTCATCTTCTTACCCGTCGGTGTCGCAGCCGTCGAGGAACGGTTTCAGACATGGCTCGTTCTGATCGTGTTCCAGGCCGTACAACTCGGAAAGAGAGAGCCTGCCGTCGTTGTCACTGTCCAAGTGTCCGAACATCCACCTGACCTCGCTCTGGCAACCGATGGGGAAGTGACCTGGAAATGGTACGGGAATGAAATATGAATTCTGATGGCCGCGCGCCTCTGCAGACAGACGCCACCAATGAAATATAAATATCGATGCATCTACAGGTACACCTTGGTCACTTGTATTTTATAGTAAATGAAAGTAACTCGATCGAATACAGTTACGCTATCTCACGCAAGTGTTTGAACGTTTATCATGGAGAATTCTTAAGAGGACGTATTCTATATATGTGTCGTATGAAATATATTGAAATTTCATTAGAGCTATAGCGAGCCGTGACTGGTGTAGCACGATCACGTTGGTCAAATTTGAAAATGTATAGTTACGAGTTATTTATCGCAAACGTGTGTTCAGTAAAAGATTAGCATACAATATGAATAACCATGTCATAATAATAAATGTCAAATATGAACCTACTGAATAACGATATTTATTATTATAACAAATACTTTTATCAATTTTTCGAAGTTTTTAAAGGAATTGGTTAAAGATTTCTATTTTCATATTTAAATACCATTCAAGAGTGTTTAGTTGGAAACGAAAGCGAGTAAAACTCTACGATACACGAAGTTGATGGAAGATCCTAATAAATAAATGGTCTTTGATTTCAGTGATAAGATTAAATGGAGATGTTACAAACTGGAAACAGTATCGACGGAGATAGAGCCGAGTAATCGGTAGATCTGAAGTGGAAGCGATTCCTTTGAACGGGACAATTCCGTGCTGGTACGAAAGCGATTGTACCGAAGTCGAATAGCGTGCAGTGATGTGAGGCAGTTCCCGCAGTTCCAAACTACGCCGGATCGTGAGCGTTGTAATGTCCAGAGGCCACCCTTTTCGTGCGGAGCAATTAGTCTCTTGTATATTCAACTCGATCGTCGAGTTTCTATAACGAGAGACTTGGTCATTCTCGACGGGTCTATTGACAACTATGTTTCTCCAAATAATGTTAAACGTATCGTCAGTCAACGAGATAAGACAATCTTGTCAGTTTCTCGAACAGCGGAGAGATTTTGTAACAATTTCCTGTCTTCTTAGGATCGTTCATCAATTTTCTGTATTGTGGTATTTAAGTAGCTTATATTCGTAATTGGAGCACTTTTAGCGATAAAAATGTGAAACGAGGAATTTAAAGGAAGGGTGGTGTACAGCGATAAAATCTAAAATTAATTATTAAGCACTTTTTGAATCTTCGAAATTTTAATTCTAGAAAATTTCATTTTTCGGACATTTGCCCATAAATATCAAAGCACACTGTTACAGATATTACAACAAAATTTGAATCAATTTTTATTTTCATTACGTTTTTCAGATATGTCAAGTTCTTTTTGATCGCGAAAACTGTAGTATGGGTTCAGAAGTTGGGACACGCATGTCATGTCCATACTCGTGACTGCAATTATTATTAAATGAAAACGTTCTACTCGTTGACGAATTATATATATTTTGAATAAAAAAAGACTTTGTTCCATAACACGGACACAGTTAGCGTTTACTGACAGAAAAATCAACAGCAATAAACCATGACACTATATCTATAATATCGAGACAGATGGTAATTGCATCATGAATTATTTTTTATAAATTTCATCAATTTTATTAATTTTACAGAATAGCGAAATTATCGTAGTGCCTGTTCTAGTTACATTGATGACTTTGGCTTGTTACAAGAGTCTCGCTATCGGTTCTAGGGTCATCGCGACTGGATTACTCTGTTTGATGATCGTTCTAATCGGGATCAGTGATTTAGGAACTGTTTTAACGAGCTTTCACGAATCACCAGCTATCCGATTCGGGCTTGACAACTTGGGAATCATCTCCATAGGATTTAATGGTCTAGAGACTATCTTAACTCTATAAGTCCCCTATTATATCACCGTAATTCTTTCAAAAGGAAAGTTTTATTCACTTGACAATTATTCAAATAACTTAAATTACATAACAATGGAATATAAAAGTATAGGGTTTCAGAAAATATAAAATTTAAATAATTCACATTATCTTTCCTTCTGTTGTTTCTGCAAAATGTATCAAAAAATTGCTATCACGTGGAAATTAACGATAAGATTATTCTCCTTATTAATGAAAACCACAGCAAATTTCAAGAATCTATTCGTAGTAAAATTTTGTTTTTCTCTCTGTTTCTTGAAATAGCAGAATTTTACTTCTTTAAAAAAATATCTTTCTTCGTTTCTATATTTCTCACAAATTTGCGAAGATAATCGCCGGAAACTAAGGAAGCTTTTCATTCGATTATTGTCGATCGGGATTTATTTAGAACTAGTTTGCCATCGTTGCACATCGTTCACGATAACACGAATGACTACAAGAATTTCGATGGCCGTTACCCCTGTTACTAATTTGCTGCGCCACGTCATCGCATGTGCAGTTCACTGATAATTAGAGCAACTTTTAGCACGTCACCACCGTTTCCGTTTCTACCAGCTGTTAAGCAGAACACGCGGAGCAATTATCGTTACAGTGGTCACGCGATTTTTAAGCCCGTCTATTGTTTACGCGACTGAAATTAACTGAAATTATCGCTCGGCAGGAATATTTTACTCATTACTCGAGAAACAGATCGGCTATCTACTTCCAAAGTGTAATTAACGGCCACTGGAGTCTTTTTAATCCTTTTTAATTCTCCCTCTCTTTCTATTTAATGTTTCTCACGTTATTACGATATATAGACCACTCAACTTACGTATACATATTTTTAATCTATTGTTAACAGTAGATGATTAAATTTCTCTAGAATAAGATGAAATTTAGAATAACGAAAATAAAGTGACGAAAGTTGCAGGTCGTTGCATATCGTTTGTGCGCAATATCGAAGGTTAATGTTAATTAACATTCCTCGTAATCCGATGAATATATTTTTCGCAGTTAATGAAAAATATTATTAAAAAAATTAATTAGGATAGCCAAATGGAAGCAAATCTTACGATCTTCTTGAATTACGTACGAAAATCGAAAAATGTTAAGAAAGATATCAAAATTCGTTCAATATATAATATTGGACATTGGTATAAAATTATTGCGTCTTCTAATATATAGTTCATCTTTCTATTACCTTTCTAATTATTTATCATACGTGTACGACGTTATTTAAATAAGATAACCAATCAATGAAACAGGATGACGTAGAGAATCCACGGGTCTTACCACTCACCGTAGTAATTATCGAAATTCAATTGAAACGTCATATTGCGAAGTATAAACTCAAGATTGACCTAGTTCTACCGTCTGTATATTCGTACCTTTTGGTTTAGGATGCGGTCGACGGTGCTTAGAGTCAGCCATCACGACGGAGAACCAATCCAACAAACGATTCGCCATTGCGGGTTTGGATGACGGCGGGCAATCAGAGTTACGCGATGATTGGGAGTTGTACGTTGATTTCAAAGGAGATGGTGTCTTCTCCATCACTTCGTTGCTCATCAGATGCTTGTCGTCATATTTACTTCCAGCCAGTGCCTGAAACATGAAAATGTAAGTAAACAATCGCGTTGAATTTGTATTAATTATATTCTTCATAATTATAATTCATTACATTAACTGATTAAAATTCTTCTTGAAATGATAACCAGAGGAAAAGATGTTGTAAATTTGCAAATCAATTGCCTCAATTGTGAAAGGTGAACGCTAGGAAGAATGATAATTCTAATTCCGTTTTTTCAGATAGATACTAAACAAGTTTAAGTGTATTAATGATTTTTTTATGTTTTTCTTCTCAGGTTTGAGAAATTTTTTAACGATAGGCAAACACGACGAAGAAAAATTTAAATAATTCATAAGATAGGATTATTTTTGTACCGTAAAAGAGATACGAAATAATTTTAACGATTTATAACGTTTTGAACGATTTTAACGATTTTACCGTTCACCGAATAGAAATGAAATGAAATACATAAAATATGAATATGCAAGAAACAGAAAGTAACGTTTTTGGGTTTCTTTTCTGCTACATATAAGGCTTATTTATTATTCACACTATATTAGTAGATATAATCTTCTTACTGTTGCATTTTTTAAAATATCGTTCGAACATTTGCGTTACGTCACGAGTTGTATCGTTTTGAATAATTAAACGTCTCGTTACTATCGTCCTAGCGAAAATTTCCACCTCTGAGCGGTGCACTTTTTTCAGAAAAAGTTGCAAATTTGTTGCAACCATCGAGAAACAAAGGAAGCATCGCTGATTACACGGAGAAATAAAGCTGCACCCGTGTTTCGTTTGCGATTAATCATCAACAGGCTGGAATTCATAGGAACCAGTAATAACTTTCTACCCTAATACAATCGTTGTCCGTTAATCAACAATCTTTTCATACGAATTTACATACACGCTTTTAATGCGTTGTTCAATGATCCTTTGATTGTAAATTCGAGCCTGATTATGTACGTTTGAAGCAACTCATCGAGATTAATAGGACTAGCAATGGTCAATTAGTAATACGAGACGTAGCATTTATTGAAAAATGGTTTACATTATGCATTAATAACGCTGTGTTTTCAGACGTTTATTGCGCACGCGTTGTGAATTAAAAGTTACGAGGTGCTTTTCGCAAGCTCTTTTATGACAATTCATAAATAAAGTAAACGTGTACGTGCAGAGTCCGGCCGAGTAACACGTAAAAGATGATATGTAAAAGCGGGAACGATGTGATTCTTCGCCGTGAAAACAAGAAAAAAATATAGAATCAAATTTTTTCATTCCCGGCTTGGTTTT